AACAATACGGTAGATAATAAGCATTGTACATCAGACTTAAAAAAAATAGGCTACAGTAGGCCTAGACAGATGAGTACATGCGTTAGGACAATATCATATAAAAGTAATTTAAAATTATGTTTAAATATAAATAATATTTCTTATATAACAAATACTCCTCTAAATAATAACAGTAAAAATTATGAATCACTGTTATTATATTACTTTTATTACTTATTACGGCACCAGAGAGTAACGGAATTAATAATTATTAATTACACATATGAATATTTTTATTAAAAATAATATAATTTAAAATGACAAGGTTGACTCTCAATGTATGGCATAGGCCTAGGCAATATTTATATGAAAAAAATAACTGATTATTTATAGCCTAAGCCTACTGCACAAGGCCTAGGCCCTACTACTACTTCATCGTTGTTCTGATCCGGAGGATCGTCAGGCCCAGACATAGGCCTAGGCCTATCTGCATCTTCATCACTTTGGTCATCACTATTCGAGAGCAAGTCATCGTCAATATCCATTTCCTCTAGGCCTACATCGTCTAGGCCTAGGCCTAAACCTATTTCATCTGCATTTATTTCTGGTTTTAAATCCGATCCATCGTCGTCCAGCTCAGCTGAATACCGTTTTTTCGGCATATCTGATTTTCAAACTGAAATTACTCTAACTTTTCAAAAAACAACCCATAGCAAAACTGGCATCAAAATGTTCAGAATTTCATTAGCTTTCTAACCGATAAAAAATATGAGTGGGTTAGGCTTGCTACAGCCGTTTAGCGGTCGATTTGTAGGAGACGTTTACCCGTTCGCATTTATGCGAAAACGGCACTGGCTGTACAGTGAGCCTATTCGCATTTATGCGAAATCAGCACTTACACCAGAGGGATCGTGTTCGCATTTATGCGAAGATGGCAGTGAAAGGGTTAATGTATGGGACACACAGGGGCCTTGTAGCGTCACTAATGATTTGCAGATTAAAACTACAGTACTGTAAAATTGTCTGGCTGTTTAAAATGCATTATTCCTTTTTATAATGTTTTAAATTATACTAGGCCTATTGTAATTTATTTATGTCTAGGAACTGACCCAGGTGTTAAAAAATAAAACATTACTAAATTTATGTTCAAAATTATAAAATGGAAGCAAGTTCCAGCGGTTTGGTGACGTTCCCATTTTGCCATGGATATTTTGATGATAAAAATAATGTTGCAACAATCAAATTACAAAAAAGAGCTGACACGATAAATACCATAAGTGAAACGACAGGACAACAAATACGCAAAAATTGTAGAAAGAAATACTCATCCATCAGAAGTAAGTTATATATCTTTTACACAATTTAGTTAAATAACAACATACATAACTTCTGGAATTGTTGAATCAATTAAAGAAACCATTACAAATGCTGCTGATGCTATCTACCATTGCCAATGCTATCGCAATTTTCAATCTGGTCTGGCCATTCCTGTTCGATTCCAATCATCTACTGGAGTACCGGCAAAGCGAAGAACTTAGCTGAGGAACTGAATGCTACTGGGAAAAACCACACGCATTAAAGGCCTTCAAGCTACCAATGTAAATGAGGAAATGATCATAAATTTGCCACTGGTTTATACCGTTGATAAATTACCACATGGGAATTTATTCAGAAAGCTATCTACCATTTAGGAGAGAAAGCAAGTGGCAATATGGAACCTCGGGTAGTTCCACTACTACTACTACTACTAGGGCACTTTGGGCCTATATCAATTCCAGAAATACACAGAAGTCCACCTAATTTCCAGTTATAGTGTGTGAAGGCCCTAAAATCCTGTTTATAAAATGCCTAAATAGTTTTTTTTTTCTCTTGTAGCAATTAAATAACCTAAAACTTGTATAATAACTGCAGTCTCTTTGCACTTGTGTTTCCATAATTATTGGATACAGAATGAAATATTTTTGTTTTACAATTTTTTATTGGATAATGTTATTAAACAACTGTAATATAACCAGACTAGTAAAAGCAGTCAACAGTGGCCAGGAGTCAATATATTACTTTTAGTTTTCACTTGCTAGCGAGCAAAAATGTTTTAAGCATAAGTTAAAACACTGATTGTGAAAAAAATTTGTCAAATTAACCCAGTTTATGGGTCAAACTTGTCAATTTGGTTGTGTCATCTGCTGATCCAGATAAAAAATAATA